TTTATCCCATCCTGTGTGGCGTGATGCCATGCTTGAGGAAATGAATGCCTTGACTGAGAATGGTACTCGGGATCTAGTCGATTTACCTGCTAGTAAGAAAGCGGTTGGATGCAAGTGGGTCTTTGCAGTCAAATTTAATTCTGATGGATCAGTGGCTCGCCTAAAGGCTTGTCTGGTGGCCAAAGGCTATGCACAGACATATGGAGTGGACTATTCTAATACTTTCTCCCCTGTGGCAAAATTGACTTCAGTTCGACTATTTATTTCTCTGGCAGCTACATATGATTGGCCACTTTACCARCTTGATATTAAAAATGCTTTCTTGCATGGAGTTCTTCAGGAGGAGGTTTATATGGAGCAACCACCTGGGTTTGTTGCTCAGGGGAAGTCTGGAAAGTTTGTCGTCTTCGAAAATCGCTGTATGGACTAAAACAGAGTCCTCAAGCTTGGTTTGGAAAATTCAGTCAGGCAGTAGAGAGGTTTGGGATGAGGAAGTGCAAATCTGACCATACTAATTTCTATAAGCTGTCCACATTTGGCATCATTCTACTTGTTGTATATGTAGACGATATTGTTATCACTGGGAGTGACACGAAGGGAATCTCATCTTTGAAATCCTTCTTGCAGAGCCAGTTCAATACTAAAGATTTGGGGCACCTAAAATACTTCTTGGGGATTGAGGTGGCAAGGAATAAAAGAGGCATTTTCTGTCTCAGAGGAAGTATGTTTTGGACCTGTTAACAGAAACTGGGAAACTGAGAGTCAAACCATGCAGTACTCCAATGCTTCCTAACCAGCAATTCACAAAGGATGGAGATGCTTTTGATGATCCTGAACGATATAGAAGATTAGTTGGAAAGTTGAACTATCTCACAGTGACTCGTCCTGACATTGCTTACTCAGTTAGTATTGTAAGTCAATTTATGTCCTCTCCTACAATGCATCATTGGGCAGCCTTAGAACATATCTTGTGTTAAGGAGCTCCTGGACGGGGAACACTGTATCGGAATCATGGTCACAGTAATATTGAGTGTTTTTCTGATGTGGACTGGGCAAGTTCCAAGATTGATCGAAGGTCCACTACTGGCTATTGTGTTTTTGTTGGTGGTAATCTGATTTCGTGAAAGAGTAAGAAGCAAAATGTAGTGTCACGATCTAGTGCAGAATCTGAGTATAGAGCAATGGCACAAGCTTCGTGTGAGGTTATGTGGGCTTCTCAACTCTTAACTGAGGTCGGTCTTAAAGTCTCAGTTCCAGCGAAGCTATGGTGCGATAATCAAGTTGCACTTCATATTGCTTCAAATCCAGTTTTTTATGAACGAACTAAACATATTGAGATAGCCTGTCATTTCGTTCGTGAGAAAATTCAACAAAACTTGATCTCAATAGCATATGTGAAGACTGGAGAGCAGTTAGGAGATATCTTTACAAAAGCTCTTAATGGAGCTCGGATTTCTTATATTTGTAACAACCTGGGCATGATTGACATCTATGCTCCATCTTGAGGGGGAGTGTTACAAAATTATAGGCTGTAAATATGTAGTATTAACCCAATTAGGAATGGCTTGATTATAGGAATTATTCTTTCTTTGATTTTCTTCCTATTTTAGTGTCTACAAGGCTGTATGATTTTCTTCATTTTTTGTATCTGCAAGGCTGTATGGTTTTCTACCTTTTTAGTATCTACAAGGCTGTATATATATGTACTATTTTCTCAATTGAAAGACATCAATTTCCTCCAATTCTTGTTCTATCACAGTTTCAAAAATGACATGGAGTAAAAAAATAAAAAAGGAGAAAATTTCTTCACTGCCTTGTTTTAATATATATATATAGAGAGAGAGAGATTAATTATTTATTTATTTAACTATTTTTATTACGTAAGATATGTTTTTCCGAGACAATGATATAATGTTTACATTTCTCAATTGAAAGACATCAATTTCTTCCAATTCTTGTTCTATCACAGTTTCAAAAATGACATGGAGTAAAAAAATAAAAAAAGAGAAAATTTCTTCACTGCCTTATTTTAATATATATATATAGAGAGAGAGAGAGAGAGAGATTAAATATTTATTTATTTAACTATTTTTATTACGTAAGATATGTTTTTCCGGGACAATGATATAATGTTTACATTTCCTTTTAATCCCTTCTGTCTTCATATTGGATATTGAGTATTCCCTTGCACTGCATAGGGCCCTGCTAGTAAATGTAGTAAAAAATAAAGAAGACTACAAGTACTAGATACAAGATACAAATTTCTAAAACCTCCAAAATTATCCCACAAAATAAACTACAAAAATTAACAAAACATAATTGTGTGCTTCATAGAAGGCCCTTGAAAAATCTAAATTGTTCCTTTCAAAGTACACTCATTAAGCTTAGACAAAACTCAAAGTAAAAATAGAGTATGAATCAAAAGCAAAAAAAAATCAAATAAAAGAGCAAATAAACAGCATTTCAAATATAATAATGAAATGGACAATAGATAGGTCCTAGAAAAGTAGGCAGTTACTAAAGAGATGATTTAACAGTAAGGAAGTCGATGGGTTGGGTTAAGTGGTAAACCCCCTTCACCTGACCTTAATGGACCAGGTATGGGTCAGTCTTAAAGGTCATGTAGCCAACCCCATATAGTTGATACAAGGCTTACATGATAATGATAGGATCCCTATTTACTAGACAGTTCATCTAGAGACATCTTAAAATCAAATAAAAACAAAATAAGAAAATAAGAAAAAAAACTCTTGGATAATTGAAATAAGTATAAAAATAAACAGAATTATCCCATAGGGACAGAAATTCTATGCATGTAGAGCTGCTTTTCCTTCTACAATGGCTGAGATTAGCAAAATGTTTTGATTATTAAAGGGAGACTAAAAAAGGAGACTCCAGGTTGGCAGTGTTCTGAAAACCATAATTGTACCATAAATTGTAGAGAAGGTTGAATTTAATTGAATTGTGACTCATATAATATAGCATAAGAGTATTTTACTTTTTAGAAAAATGTCACAAATTAATGTATACATACATACACACACTTTAAACTTGAACATATACAAAAATTATTTTACCCCATTTTTAATTCACATCTACCATATATGTACTTAATACAATAGAGCTTCCCCCTGTAGAATAGAGGTGTCAAATGATAGAATTAAGTTTAACTTCAAAGTCAATTAATCCACATATAAATATCTCTTTAAATTTGATAAGATTGAAAATAATCTCAAAAAGGTTTCCAAATAGGTCTTTAACAACCTATATAAATCTTATTCAAGAAGAACTCTAAAACAAATGCCCCTTGAAAAAAAAATAAACAAATGAAACAAAAGGAGTGATGAATGTTGGTGTGAAAATTTTAAGAATCTCTCATGCAACATAATCCACTCAATCGAGTGATTGACTTCTTATCTTTTTGGGTAAGGCAGAGAACACCTTTTGATTTTGACTTGGAGAAATGAATGCATAGAACAAAAGAAAAGACTGAATACTTCTTGAAAAGAATTTTTCATTTGAATTTCTTTGACATATTTCAAGTGTATAAGAATGAGAAAGAAAAAAAAAATACAATCACGAAACTCCACAACAATACATTTCTCTCTTTCGTTTCATTTTGATACAAAGAAGATTTCCTTCTCACTCCTTTCTTCACAATAAGCTATAGTCAATCAGACAAAATTCTGATTGTAGAGAGAAAATCTTCTAGATTTTGTATACGAGAAGGGAACCATAGTCAGTCGGATTGACTATTTGACTGTAGACAATTTTTATCCCTTTGTTCTACATTTTCATTTGAAGGGAACCATAATGAGCCCTTGGGAATAAGACTATTAGATGGTTTAATCCCTAACCTATCATGATAGAGGGACCATAATCAACCAAGTAAAAGCACTTGGTCGTAGATGGTTTCTTTCCCTCTATTTCCTTTTCTTAGAAGTAAAACAAAAGAGAGAGGAAGAAGGATACACAGCAGAAGACACACATAGGAAGTATTTACAGAGAGGATTTACCTTTACCTACCTGTATTAGTGACATTTTTTTTCTCTTCCATGTCTTCTGCTGAGAACTTTTCTTTTCTTCTCTCTTTTTTGGCTTTTCTTAAGAAACCTAAGAGTGGTATGCTCTGAGACAATTTTTCCCAAAGAGGCCTCCAGTATCTCTCCAAGGAACATAAATAGGTAGTGGGGTAGTTATGCAACTACCCCCTCCCCCTTGGTGAATGACACATGGCCTTCCCACTTAAAGAGAGGGAACTGTCATACGGGACACCCTATTTAGTTTTGATGATTTAGCCAGCACACTAGTCAACCCACTTATTTGGGTTATAAACTATTTTAAGTTGATTTAGGTTTGTTAAAATAAATTCCTTCAACAATGAAATAGAGAATTAGGTGTCAATCGAATTGATTGAATCACATGGTTCATATAGATAATAATGTCAGTGAAATGAATCTTGAGATTCAAATTGTAAACATAAGATTTTTTTAATAAAACGATTCAAACATACAAATCAAGTGGTAATCAAAAGATTTTAATGAGTTCCTCTCTCTAGCATAACAACAACTTTGTTGCACAAATTAAGAAATAGAAGGTAGAAAGAAAGTCAAGACACTGAAGTAAAAGAAAATTGAAAAAAAAAACAAGTCAATAAATAAATGTTTCCAAGATTTTTACTTTCTTGACCTGCTACTCTAGGTATTATATTGTACCGACCCTTTTCCCAATTAAATTGCATACTTCCATTATTAATTAAAAACAAAAAGTTGAAGGGTCCAAAACATGAGAATGAGTTACAATATACAAAGCAATGTATGGGGAAGATGAAAATATTTCATAATAATTATGTATGGGACTAATGAAAACAGGCAAGCATTACAAGCCAATAAACAAAAAATAAAATAAGAAAGAGGATAAACCAACAAAAGTATAACATGTGCTTCAGAAATGGTAACAGTCCACTATGTCAATCTTAGTGGAGAGTTAAATGGGATTACCTGTTCAGATGTAGCCATTGAGCCATGGCATGTGAGCAACAGAACTCTGTTGGGGTCACCCAAAAGTGGATGAGCCTTAAGTTGATCCCGTAGACAACTAATATCTTCCCATCCTGTCATAAATACCAACACTGCACCAGGACGTTCCTTACGACATATATGGCACAAAACTGCCTCAATAAGATTAAATCCTATGCAATCAGGTGTCCAACATGACAAAGAATCCCGTGTCCTGGAGCTATAGTTCTCAAAGTTTGACTTGTTAAGAGCATCCTAGGAAGTATTAACATAAAATTAATAATAATAACTTCCTCACATAAAGTATACTCAAGAAGCAAAACCTCAACATTTAAAAGGAAATTGTAACAAAAGAAAGCAATCAATTTCTAGTAATTGTATAATTGCCAGAAAAGAAACAAAGTATCTTCAAGGTTCTAATATGACAAAGTACCCCATCCTTCCATCTGGATCAAGTTTCACTAAAGAGAGGGGCTTTTATTCTTTGAAGTTTAAACAACCCTCATTAAGCAGGGGACAGCAGCAGTTAAGAGCTTGGAGGAAGGTACACATCACTAGTAAGGTTAGAACTTCAACTACCTTCTTGAACATCTTGTCTGATGGACCAGGAAGATGTCAATAAGTGGGTGGAACATCTAAGCACCTAGCCAAGTCTAGGGCAGGCAAGATTTTTTCAAAGTGGATTTTCCAAGCCCTCCTGAAGACTTTAGGCAGCTTGCCACTGCTTATTTGTACTTTCCTCCCTTCTCTTTCTTATGCAATTAATGACATTGCAAAAAGGAGAAAGTATCTCTTAAGGGAGTGAACCAGTCAGGTTCCAATCTTTATTAAGGGGGCACACCCCTAATTATGATACCAAATATTTTTTAATGAAAATAATTCAATCATTTTTTGATTATATGAAGAAATGTACAGTAAAATATTACAAGAAAGAATAGATTCTGCTGCACTATATGACCCACTTATTGCAAAACATATTCACCCAGAAATCCCACCTCAATCATGTTCCACCCTGTTTACCCCTTGCCTATCCAGTCCATCAGCCAAACTGTTTCCACATCTTGTCTTCCAATGAAAACTAGATTTTTATTCTGTTGACCTGAATTCCCTTGGGGTGTGTTTGGTTTGTCGAAGATTTTGGTGGTATAGGAAAATGGGAAGGGAAAGGGAAAATGGGTGGAAATTTTTCATGTTCCATTGTTTGGTTGCAAAGGGAAAATAGTGGGTAAATCAACTCTAGTAACAATTATTAATTAATTAATTAGTAATATTATTATTATTTTATATTTTACTATTAATAAGTAATAATTATCAATATTTCAATGAAACAATTTCATAATTAATTAGCATTGATAATTTTCTAATTAATTATTATTAAAGAATTAATATTTTAAAATTTATTTTATTAAAAACTAAATTAATAACTGTATCCTTATTGCTAATTATTTAATATTTTATTATTTAATTATTATTTTTTGAATCAATAATTAGACTAATAATAAAATCCTTATTTATTTATTCATTAATTACTTAATTAATTATTAACTATTATTTGTTAATTATGGATTAGTTAATAATACTTTTTTATCATTTAGTATTTTATTATTAATTAAATATTAATTATTTAAAATCCATAATTGGTTAATTAAAGATTTTAGTTAAATAATGTTTTACATATTATTAGTTTATAAGTTATATTAATATTATATTTTATTAATACCAATAACTTAATTAATAATTTTGGTATTAATTATTCATAAATTATTGCATTAATTTTCATTGATAAATTATTTCTTTAATTTATTTTAATTAAACTATTAATTATAAAATAATTATTTAGTTATTAATTAATTCGTAAATTAATTAATTATTAAATATCCTTAATTAATTAATAATATTTTTATGATTTAGTATTTTATTGTTAATTATTAATTTGATATTAATTAATATTTTAATTTTGATTATTTTACATTTATTATTAATATTTTATTTTATTAATACTTATGACTTAATTAATAATTTTAATATTTTATTCTGAAAAATAATTAATTATTAAATTTTTTATTTATTAATACTTTCATTAATTATTTATTTTAAGTTATTTATTAATTGTTTTAATTAAATTATTTTATTAATATGTTATGAAATAATTAATAATTTATTTATGGGTCATGGGTCTAGTATTAACTCTTAGAAATACTACAAAGTATTTTCTTTCGTTAAACAACTTTCCCCCTACATTCCCACTTGCTTCCCACCAAAATGGTGGGTGAGACTCCACATCCTAAGAATTGGGATCTATAATCCCATCTTTTTCCTATCCCATCACATGACATCCTACAAACCAAACATGGGAAGGGAGGAATATTCCAGAGCATTCCATATTTTCCCTTCCCATCCCACAAACCAAACGGAGCCTTAGCAAATACCCGTATGTCCAAGTTCCCGGGTCGTGATTCCTAAACCAATCCACTACCACCTTAAAATTTTCCACCACCATATCCAATTTTAATCCTTGGAATAAAGTTCAGCCTGTGCTGACTTTCCATGTCCAATGGGTCCAATAAAGAGACACTATAGATAAATCATGGTGTCTAAACACTCCTATACCTGAACTTCCCAGGGTTCCCTGAACTGCATCCATCAAAGTTCAGCTAATGGTATGCCAAATTGGTGACTTCCAAGATATGCATACATTGAACCTTGTCATGGCAGAATTTCCATGATTTGCATATTTCTTGCAATGTTTTTGATGCAGAAAAGCTAGAATTAACTATCACAAGATAGAAAGAGAGAAGAATAGAGAGAGGAGAAAGGGTAGAAAAAAGAGAATGTAATCCCAAGGAATCACCTCAAGGGTCCTAGAAATCTTCAATGGCTCATGTGGCTCGAAATCTGTTCATCATAAGTACAAAAATGCCACTCTTTGTCTTGTGCATCAAGAAACACATTAACTTACTACATATTAATGCAAATAAACTGAAAATTGAAAGATAAGCCCTACTAAACTAGAAAGAACAAGATGCTATTGCCCAGGCCTACATGGGATAGGTCAAAATGACAAAAAATGCCCCTGACCAGATCAGTCCAACTCCCAAGAGTCTTCCCCATGCCAAATCAGAACCTGTTTGTTGGCCTTCTCCTTATGAGACAAGTCTTATAATGCCTGGACTGATCCCCATCATCTCTCCCCAGCTTGAAACTATTCAATCCTATCGAGTTAAACGCAAGATACTGCTCATAAAGATCTAGATTAAGACAATACAAGTGTTCAGCTGTAAACCATGTAGATTCTGAAAGAGGTTAATTCTTCCACTGTATGACAAACTTTTGGTAACCCCAACCTTCGGTAGAAATCAATTTTTCATCAACAAGGTATTCGAGCACATCAATAGATGGAACCAAAAGCAGCAATGGGGCTGTGGGACAATCACTATGGCCATGATACGCACTAAGGTCTTCAACAATAAAAATTGGACTAAATACGCACTAAGGACTAATTCCCATGTCACTTGGCAGCTCTAGGACATATGCGTTAGAACTGATTTTCTTAGTGATCTTGAAGGGACCTGCATTCTTAGAGCGAAGCTTCTTATAAAAGCCTTTAGGAAGGCGTTCAGGTTGTATATGCACCATAAACATATCACCCCCTTGAAAATCAGATAGGTGCCCATGTAAATCAGCTTTGGCTTTGTTCACAGCATTGTTTGGGGCATCTGATTTTCATCCAAATTTAGTCTCAGAAATTTTTTTCTTCATGGCCAAGGTTAATAGGTAGCAAGAAGGTGAATGTGGTTGGGAGCTGCATCCCGTTCACAATTTCTTGGAATATTTGAAGGAGGGGAACAGAAGAATTTTTTACGACAAAATCTGTAATTTGGACAGGATAGTATCTGTAGTTAGCAAATCAGTGGCTGATTGGGGTTTGGTATATCCAGAATTCAGTCAATGTGAAAGGGAGGACATGGAGGAAAACTTAGGGGAAGTGTTGCGTTTTCAAATATGTAATTTGGAAATTTTGGTATATCCCACTTGAAAGTATGATCACCAACTAGACAATAGGGGGTGCTCATGGTTCAGTTAATCGAACCGTGGTCCTTTTTTTGTAACCGAACCGATACTACCGGTTTTTGGAAAACCAGTAACCGAAACCAATCGGTTAACCAGTTGACCGGTTCGGTTAATTGTCGGTTCGGTTCGTCGTTTTTCAGTTTTTTATTTAATTTTTACAATAGATTATAAAAACATATATAAATATATAATAAAAAATTATAAATATATATAAAATAGTATATTTTAAATAATAAATAATATATCATATATTATAAATATATATTTATATATAATGCGTATTTATTAATTTATAATATATAAAAAATATTAATTATATTTAAAATATATATAATATACATAAATATATATATAAAATATATAGAAATATATGTATATTGGTCGGTTCAGTTAACCGCCGGGTTTCTATATTGGTTAACCAAAACCGAACCGGTACCTTCGGTTTTCTTAAAACACCAAACCGACCGATTCGGTTAACCGATTTTTCGGTCCGGTTTTGGTTGGTTTGGTTTTTTAGTTTTTTTTCTCACCCCTACTAGACAATTAGCAAATCACTAAGGCTTCCATTAACTACCTTAGTATGGCCATTGGTCTAAGGAAGGAAAGAACATGAGAACTTCAGCTTTGTATTGAGGAGCTTCCAAAGCGTCTTCCATAAGTAACTCATAAACTTCGCATCTCAATTAGAAACAATAATAACACACCATGCAAATGGACTACTTCCTTACAGAATAAGTTTGCACGTGTAGGTATCTGGTGTCTTACTAAAAGGAATAAAGTGGGCCATTTTAGAGAACCAAACTACCACAACATAAATTGATTCATAACCCCTTACCGTCTTGGAAAGACCTAGGACAAAATCCATAGAGAGGTCTTGCCAACACTCGTGGAACCGGTAAAGGGGTTTACAACCATGTATTCTTCTTTCTCCTTTATGCTAGGTGTCAAATTCCACACTGTTTGATCACACGATCAACATCAGCCTTAAGGTTAGGCCAATAAAAGCAATCTTCAAGCATAGTTATGGTCTCACATCAACCAAAATGCCCAGCAAATCTATCTGCATGTAATTTCCATATAACATACTCTTTTTAGCCACTGAACTCTCACTTCCATATTCTGAGTTAACACAGTTCTTTTTGCAGCCAATTAATCACCAACTTTCAATACCCCTCAATAATCAA